GCAAAAGGTGGGGCCGATGTCGTCATCCAAGCACAATTACCGTTACAAAGCAGAGAATATGAAAGGTTGATTCCATATCCACAGGCTATTCTAGGTCACCTGATGCGAAAGAGGAAGCAAAAGGTTTTAACCCACTAACAAGGACTACCACCGTCTAAAGCAACATGGGAAGAGCGTGAGTTCATGGCAAAATAGTTTCCAGACTTTGCCCTTGAGGACAAGGGCGAAACTTAAGGGGAAAGGGATGTTACGCAAGTGCAGAGTCTTAGGTTGAATGAGTCCAAGTAGTTGTGTTTTGTTAGTAATAAAGTAGGTTGTTTTCTATTCTGTTTACTTTTACCTATTTATTTGGGATAAAATATCTATTACAATGGAGATTACTGTTGTAAACATTCCTATTTAAGTAGTGGATTGAATAAAGAAAAGGTAGAACCAATTACAATACACTTGTATTTTATTTGGGGTTTTGGGTTTCCTCGAAATAACCCAATTAACTTATCTCTCTGCAATCTTCTTCCATCCAACAAAAATAGGTAGTACTAAGATTGGCTCATTTGTACCACAATCATTGTTTTAGCATATGCAAATCGATGGCCAAAAGATCTTCCAAGACATTGATCGTCAATTCCAAGAATTTCAAAGCATTTCTATCCAAGGAAAAGAACCACTGCCCCCTCAGACACAAGAGAAGCACCATTTAGACACATATGGATACCACCTTTAGAAGGAGAGGTGAAAATAAATTTTGATGTAACTATGGGAAATTAATTTACTTGTACAACAATCATGGCAAGACAGGAGCTTGGAGAAGTTATGAGAGCCAAAGTGACCATGGAATCAACCTCAAATCCACTCATATAAGAGGCAGTTGAAACCAGGAATGTTGCAAATTGGGCTATGGAAGAGAAGTGGAGCTATGTCACCATTGAGAGTGATTCTCAAACAGTTGTCCACGCTGTCATGTTAAATCACATCAAAACAGCTTGGCCAATCTGGCAAATTATCAAAGACCTGAAAGAAAACCTCAAAATGCATCTTGACTGGAGCATAGTTCACATATACCAGGATGCAAATGGTGCAGCACATCAACTTGCAAGACGGGGACTGAAGACTAAATGCACAGGCCAACTCCAAAGGGAAAACCTCCCATTCTTTGTGCACGTCGTGCAGTGCCGGCGCATGCACTAGGCCATTGCCTAGAGCCCCCAAATGAGACAAAAATTTTGGGGCCCCAAATTAAATTTTTATACAATTTTTCTAGACTTAATTTTTGGGTTTAATTTGAGAACTTGATGCATTTTTACCATTAAATTAGTAAGAAAAAATACCATTGAATAAGTTTACTAAAAATCAAATAGCCATAATTTATTAAGTGTCAAAATTAGGTCCCTAGATTAAATACAAGTAATAGTATTATAAAATTTTTAGAATTTCTTATAAAAATATTTAGGGCCCTAAATTTTGAGCTTATGTGTTTGTCTTTGTTCAATATTTATGGTACATAAAAAATATGTGTTATCATCTAATAAAATATATTTCTATCTTATTATCAAAAAAAAAAAATTGTATAATTTATTGTCTATCAACTAATAATTATAAATTATAACTTTATATTTTTTTAGATTAAATTTTTGGTTACTTCAAATTTATGATAGATTTTTACTTAATTATTTTTTTAAAGCGTATAAAAATGACTATAGAATAAATTGAGTAAAAGTATCTCACTATCTGAAACTAATTATAACCATAATTGTCTTGCTAAAATTTCTTAATTAAAACATTTTGATGGTTCTCTGCAATATTAAAACATGTTTCACATATTCTAATATCATTTAACTTATACAAATTTTAACTTGTACATGATTTGTTAGTTAGTTTAAATTTTCGTTCTTTTTCTCATTATCTTTAGTAGAAAACTAATTTAATTATATTTGGTCAAGGATTCGACTTTTGCTAATTGAATTTTAATGTATAAAACTTGAATTTAAAAATTCAATTAATATTTTTGAATCTCAAAAAAGAAAAATAAACAATATTAAATAATTTAATTTTTGACAATTATTTATATTATTGTAAAATATATTAATAGGGCCTAATTTAAAATTTTTGCCTAGGGCCCCCAAATATGTTGGGCCGCCCATGACGCCATGAACTAGGACAAAGTTGTCAATCATTTAGACTATGTTTTAGTTTCTGTTATGTTATTTTTTTTTTCAACTCCCTTATTCTGTTCTACTATTTTCCCAAGTAAAAATAAAAATAAAGGAAAAAATTTTAGCCACACTTCTCCTAGTTTATCATATCTTCAAGGACACTCCCTCTATTTTTTGAATCTTCAATGACACCTCATATCAAATTAAATGTGTTAATTAGAATGCAATTTTATTAAATTGTAGGGATGTCAGTGGACCGAAGCGGGGGCTAGGAGTGTAGTCTCCATCCTCGTACCCATTTAAAAAAACTCCGTCCATCCCCAGTCCACCCTTATTAACGGGTATAGTTTTCATCCTCATCCCATCCGCAGGTAAATTTCTAATCTCCACCCCCGTCCCCACTTCTCCCCTACCCGCCCAAGTCCAAGCTCAAATCCAAGTCCAAGCCAATATAATCCAAGCATTGTTATAGAGGGAAAATAAAACAAATCCTTGTTCTTATAAATATTTAGTATGACTACATTTCAAAGAAAAAGGGATATAATCAATGTGGGGGTACTGCAGACCCATCCCCACCCTTAACCCAAATTGGATTTTTATTTTCTTAAATCCATCCCTACCCTATTTAAAATCCTACCAAACCCATCCGACTAGGTGTGGGGCGAGGAAAATTGAGATTCTAAATCCCAGGTCCCTTCCATGGCGTAATGACACAGTATTGTTTTCCAGTGGCAATGAATTTGAAATTTAGATGTTCTTTCTTTTTTTTTTTATTGTCATTATGGTACTCAATTTGTCAGTGTATCTTGTAATGCTTCAGAATACAGCTGACAAAATTGAATTCCCCGGTTCAGCTGACAAACCTAAATCCTTCAAAATATATATATATATATATAATAGGTATAGCGGGGGCGGGGTAAGGGTAAGTCCATCTCCACCTTCATTTCCGCACGTGTTTATATGGGTATCCCCATATACATCTACTGTTCAATACGTATGGTTCATCCCCAGTCTAAACGGAGTGGGTTCGGACGAATACCCGTTTTTTTCCGGTCTACTATTATCTCTACTAAATTGCCTATGATATATTTTAAAAAAACTTCATCCACACCCCTTCTAGATAGACATATCTTCAATGAGACCCCCTTTATTTTTAAAATTTTTGTACATATTAAAATTCTGGGCGATTAAAATTTAATTCGAACTAATTAAAATTTATTTTTTATATATTAAAATTTAAATCGATTAAAAATTATATTTTTTACGTATTTAAATTTGAGCCTATTAAAATTCTATTTGAGGCTTAAATTAAATTTTAATCAACTCGCATTAAATTTTAATTTGTCCGATTTTTGTTACATAAAAATATAATTTTAATTGGCTTAAATTTTAATAAGTAAAAAATAAATTTTAATCAAGTTGAATCGAATTTTAATAAATAAAAAAATAAAAATTTTAATTGATTTGAAACGAATTTTAATCAGAGCTAACAACTCAAATAGAGTTCAAATTGGCTTGATTTTAGTACGTAAAAGATTTTTAATATACTCAAATTTTAATATGTAAAAAAAATAAAATTTAATCAGCTTGGATCAAATTTTAATTGACTCAAATTCTAATTTAGTAAGCTCGAATTTTACTGTGTAGAAAAATAAATTTTAATCGACTTAAATTTTAATCGAATTTTAGATAGAAAGATTGTTTGAAGTTTATATAGGTTCAATTTTGGTATTTTAGATAATTTATTTTTATTATAAATGGTGGTTTAATGGCAGAAAGTGTCACTGATGTTTAAATATAAACTAAAAGAGGTGTCAGTGATATTTTTGATAGTAGAGGGAGTGTTTTTGAAGATATGGTATATTAGAAGGGATATATTTGAAATTTTCCCAAAATAAAAATATGCATGGGAAGAGGTGAGGCTAATAAAAAATGTAGTAAATTATACAAATGACCCTTATATTATAAAAATGGCTCTTAAATTAGGACATTTGTTTCAATTAAGTCTTTGATCTAATTTTCTTGTTAATTGAGGTCATAAACTCTAAAATTTTAGTAATTGAGACCTTATGTCAAAAATCATTAAGTTTTTGGATGAAATGTCTAAAATGTTTACTACATGGACAACAAGTTAGATGATATGTTCACCACATTCGAAACATATTAGATGAATAGCCTCATTCCTTATACATATCAAATGAAGCAAATCGCAAATCAACAAGCTCTTCGGCCTAGTATAAAAAACATATTACATAAATTTAGACTTTTCAAACAGGTTTCTTATCTACTTTTTTTTTATGGGCGTAAAAGACGTTTAGGTTTAGAGTTTAGGTTGATGGGTATAAAGAATAAAATTATTCGTCTCATAAATTTCGAACGTAAAGTCAAAAAATCTTCTAATTTGTTGTTTATGTGGTGAAGACGAGAAATATTTTATCCAAATATCAAACGCCTCCTGACAGAAGGCTTAATTTCTAAAACTTTAGAATTGAGTGACTCAATAATGTAAAAATTAATTAAAAAATTTAATTGATATAAGAGTCGTAATCTAAACATCGTTTATCTAATTTCATCTGAAATAATACAATACTTGAGGGCATAGTCGTAACTCAGCTTTACCCCCAAGAGCAAGGTAAATTCAGTCGAACACTAGTCGTAATATAGCGTGCTAATTTGCGACAATAGCCTCTCCAGGCATTGATTCCTCGGAAACCTTGTTTCCCAAGTTCCCCAATCTCTCTCTCGCACAGACACCGTATACTCGAGCAGTCGATTCTCACCAAAACATAGTTTTGATTCATGTTTCATTCTTTCGCGTATTCTTCTTAATCGTTTGTTTTTCCGCCGATGGCCCTCCCTCTCGGGAAGCTCACTATTCTCGTCGGTGCAGGTTCGTACACTTTTTTTCCTTTGTGTTTTTTTATATATGTGTATTGTCTAGGAAGACACTATACACAAATGTATGTGCTTATATTAGATTGTTATTTCACTTTATTCCTCTTAATTAATCAGTGTCTAAGCACTATTTAGATGAATTTCGTAGTATTTGCTTTCGTATTATTTGTCTATTGAATTATAGTCAGGGTCTTGATAAACCCTAGGTTTATTGGCAACTATAATTTAGGGAAACTTGCATTGATAACCTGATTGGCGCTGTCCTCATCCTGTGGTCAGCCTGAATAGTTTGGTCTAATCTTGCCATGGTCAATCAAAGGGATTGCAGATAGCAACTCCAAATCTCAATACAATTACATGTGAATTGCGTGTCTCATCCTGTTGTCACACTTTTTTGTAGTAAATTAGTCGAAGAGGGCCTCAGGGGCTGTTCTCTCATTAAAGATTGATAGAAAGTGCTTTGTCATCACTCATTAGGTACTGTTTCACTTGTTAATGTTTTTATGTGGAGTTCAGAAATAATATCAAAGCAGTTTTTCTGCTTCCAAGGCTGAATTATTACTTTTCAGATGGTATTGAGAGAGACTACTTTTTATGACTTTGTTTGGGAATTGCATATGTTTCATGCTCTTTGTGATATGTGGTGAGATGCAAAACTAACTTGTAGATGGTTTTCATGGGTAGTTATTCACTTATAATACCTTTCTTCTCTGTACCTACCGAAGAAGAAAAAAAGGATCTAGCACGTATTTGGTGAGAAATTAAGTTTTTGCTTACATTTCTCAGGCATTGTTGGGTCGGTCCTAGTAAAGGAAGGACGTTTGTCCAATGTCTCAGATTTTTTCTCTGGTGCTCTCAAGGTATGTTTAGTGTTGGCTGTCTAAATAGTATTACTTATGTTTACTTAGAATATTTCATCTTTGACATTTTTTCTTTGTTGTCTCTTTGATTGTCATTCCGCTAAGTATTATTTTGTAGCAGATTGTGTTGAAGCAAGTCAGACAAGATAATTCCACCCCATCACCAAGTGTTAAACCACGAAATGACTCTTTGTTGGCACAGGTTTGCAATGATGCTGTCATATTTTCATATAGATGTGGTTATATTGCGTAATTATCTTGTGCATTAGGGGTGGCTCTTTGAGCTTTCATTTTTATGATGTTGATGAAATGTTCAGATTATTGTTGAAGTGGTGAGTTTACTTTTGGTTCCTTTTGGCATTGATCACTTTGTATTGGTTAGTTATGGTTATACTATTTTTTTTCTTTCTAGTATGCCAATCATGTCCCTGAAATAGTCTACTACATCTTACCAATCACACTGGAAACATAAGTTCTTATTACTGGAGGTGATCTAACATTAAATGTTTGCAGGTCAATAGCCTAAGACAGGAACTGCAACTCTTGGCATCAAATAGACCTGTTACAATTGTAACATCTTCTACTGCAGGTGGTTGTTATAACACCTTATATATGTGCATATGCAAGGCGAATATACTTTTTATTAGCCATGTACTTCTATATATTTTGCTTTCAGTAAGGTGTGTCTAGTAGTCCTTTTTTCATCATTAAAACAGTTATGGATTAAGCAGCATCAGCATTGCAGGAATTAACTGCCCCCTTCCCTCTTCTGATAAGTGATGCACGTGTAATATTAGAAATCTAGCAGGCATGTTTCTGCCATTTTTTTGTTTTGTTTTTTTTTTTTTTTGGGGGGGGGGGGCTTGGTTGTTGGGTGGGGGGATGTTAACCATGCACAACAAATCTATGGAAAAAATTTGGTTGTATGCATCACATCTTTTCTATGAAAAACATGTTACATTCAAAACTACCCACCCATAGATTGTGTTTGGTTCTAACCATGATTCAATTAATGTTTTAGGCTTGTAATTGATGCATACATTTTCCATTAATTTGCATGCGGGTTCCATTATTTTCACTTCACCCCATAGTTTTGGGAGTTGAATTCCCCTTTTTGGCCATTTGTGCATGATATCAACTTAATAGCTTGTAACACCATTCTAGGAACATGATCTGTTTTTTCATATTATCTACTGTAACAACTCCCTATATTTCTTATTCCTTAGGGTCTTGCTGTACTTAACAATATCTGTAATAGTCCCACTTTTTAAATGTGTTTAAATCATGTGCAGGTGCTGGCAAATATGGTGCAATAATTGTAGTAGTTGTAGTAGGCTATGGCTATGTTTGGTGGAAGGTAATAATCTTGTATAATTACTTGTCTTGTTGTATTACTAAGAAGCTGTTAAATCTTATTGATGTTCTAGCTTCATAATCATCCAAATTTGAAAAGTTTTGAAACTTTTATCTGGACAGCTGTTACATTTCAGTGTAGTTTGGGTCATTGGTTGTTTTATAGGATTTACTCCAGAACTGACTATTGGTATGTGATGAGCGTAATCTTATGTTTGTGGTTGTTTCTTATTGGAAATCCTGTATTTAGTTGCATTTATAAGTCATGTGCTGGGAGAAGAAAGGCCACATGGCCTAAGCAATAAAGTGGCACTAGGTGAGAAAGACCCATCACCTTTAGATCACTCCATGCCTCCATTTTTGTAAGTTTAGGATACAACTGACAATATTTTACAGGATGAATTAGAACATTGAACCTTTCAGGATGGGTGCATCCTGACAATTGATGCTTGCACAGGTTAATAGGAGGCCCAGGAAGGTGTTGGATTGACAAATCTGCACTCCTCATACCCCTTGTGTGCTGGACCACTAATAGATATGCTTATGCTATCTGATACCAGATAGTGCGGCTTGGCCACCATCTGGATCGTGATGTTGGTGTGGTAGATGGATGGAACAAGGACGTCATCTAGTTCGAATTTTTTCAACATAAACATGCATTTCCGCTCAAGTCATTTCTATCTTATTGCAAGCTACAATCATCAGTCCATCTTTCTATACATAAACACTTAGGCTAATGATGAAAGTGTGCCTCATGTACAACCTGGATTATGCGCTAATATCTTGCAATATCTATGTATTGACACACTTCGCTTTGTATGAAACTGGAAGTAAAAAACATTACGAAAAATTTGATACGTCAAGTCTGGATCTACCCAAAAAACATAGGAGTCCAGCTTTGCTTACTTAGTCATGAAAATTGCACCGCACCCTTGTATCACTAAAAGCAGCTGGAAAATATTTCTTCGTATATAAAAATTTTCTTTGTCCCTTCAATGTCTTTACTTTGGTCGATGTGAATTCAAACTTAATATCAATTTTCTTCTACATAAGTAAACAAGCTACATATTCAAGTAAAATTAGTTATCATCCCTTTTCACGCAATGTCGTGCTCCTCTCAGATTGTCTCCTTATCCAGTTTTTGGTTTTCTAGTTTTTGTCTAACTAGTTGTTACAATTATGTTAATTTGCACTTTTTCTAATGTTTGTATATATCCTTTTAGGGTTGGAAGCTTCCTGATATGATGTTTGCTACGAGGCGGGGTTTGTCTGAAGCAAGCACTACTATAGCTAAACAGCTTGAGAATGTTTACTCGTCTATTTCGGCAAGTTTTTAATTTCTTTGAGGTTTAATTTTGTCTTCAGAACCATGTTGCAGAACTTATTATTATTCAAACTTGGAGTGAATGATGACATTATATATACATCTAACCAGAGATCCCAAGTTAAAAAATAAAATAAATTGACCATCAATTGTTCTTAATGGTTAATATTTTATGATTCTTGTGTTGATGATTCTGTGAGGGGCTTGAATGGATGAACTTATATGAACTTCACAGCGTGAGAAGGGAGGAAAGAAAAAGGAACAAAATCAAAACAGTATTAACCAGATATTTATGTTGTTTTAGCAATCATAAGAGACATTGATACTCTACTCTTAGATAATTGTGCTTCCTACACGAGCACACTGGAATACAACTGTTGACCGTGTTGCATGTGAGCTATTTGATTGGAAAAAAAAACTAGAAATCCAAGATTTATATCAGTGCATCTCTTACTGGCAATTACCCTAAAGAAAAGTCACCTAAATGTACCATATTTGCACGTGACAAATTTTGGAAAATGTTGAAAATTTTAATATGAGAAGTAGAAATCTGATTTGAGTTTTTGTTTGTGATTTTATAGGCCACCAAGCGACATTTGTCTTCAAGAATTGACCGAGTGGAATGTAATTTAGATGAATTTGCAGAAGTTACTACTGGTACAAAGGAGGAGGTGGGACCAAGTGAAGTTATTTTTTTCTCTATATTAATTGAGGTTTCCTGTTGATTTACATGGCATTTATTCCTCTGCATAGGTTACTATACTAGGAGGAGAAGTGAATGGAATCAGTGGGAATGTTCAATCTGTAGACCATGCAGTTCGAACCCTGGTAAAATTTCTTCTGTATATTTCTACATATATTTTCTTGTTGCGGAGCCATGTTTATAGTTTATCACAATCATGACCTTGATGCCTGATTTTGAGATCTTCCATGTATCAGGAGACTAAAATTAATAGAATAGAAGGGAAACAGGTACCTGTTATATAAACGAAGAGCTTCATTGTGACATTTATAAATTTGATAATGCTGTGTAACGATCATGTCCCTGGTGGTGTATCTGCTCAGGATTTCAATATTGAAGCAGTGAAGAGGTTGGTTGTTGCTGTCCATAGCTGGGGAAATACCAGAGCCCCAGAGAGTATTCAGGCATGAGCAACACTTACTCCCGTTGCTTCATTTATGCTGCATACAATTCGATTGTATTTCCTGCTGATCAGGTTCTTTATGCTTAAAAAACTTCCACCTTTAATTATGTTCTCTTAACACTGTAGGCGCCCCCCTCTAGTTCATCCAGGCTGGTTCTTGAGTTGCAACCGATGACAGCCTCATCAAGGGTAAGTTCATTCCAATGTGACATAGCTTGTTTATCTAGTGATATACACCTCTGTTCCTTACTAAAAGAAATAAGAAAACAATATTATTAACTAATATGAAAAATTGTAAATGAAGAATAAGTCATCACTGTGAGGTAGATGGAGGCTCTCACACTCCCTCTGTGTGTGTTTGTGGATGTTTGTGTGTGTATGTTGGTTAGAGCAGAGCAGCAGAGTCACTTGTAAACAGGTGTGCGTATGTTGGACATTGACACTTTTTGAATACTATTGGAGATGTGTCTGATACCCTTTTGGTCGTGTCTATGTTTGAAAAGTAGAAATCTTAATTTCACGCACGTATCCGACACCTCTTAAGTTGATGTAGGACAGCTGTGTAAACTCAAAATATGGGCTGTTTTGGAGATGTGAATAGTAATGTGAACAGTATAATAGGATGTGAACAGTAACATGAAGAGTAAAATAGGCTAGGACTCCTAGGGTTCCTTAGGCATCACACACAGGGGTTAGAATTGCATCACACAACTCAAGAAATATATAATTGCTGAAATTTCTAAAATATTATTCTCTCGATAACTATTTATTAAAAGTAACACTAACTATTTATAGTTTTAAGTACTCTTAATTCTAAAAGATTAGAATTCTAAAGTCTCTAGGACTCCAAAAATTCTAAATCCCTAAAAATTAGAAAACTAAAATTAACTAGAACTAGAACTTTAAATTTTAGAATATTCAACACTGAAATTTGACCCAAAAATATGACCTGTTCTAGAAATTCTAGAAATTATAAAAATAACCCCGACTCTAAAAAATATAAAAAAAACCACATAAAACACTAATACTACCAAATGGATTCAAACTAACTTAAAACAATACTCAAAATACAATAATGTAAGGTTCAATATGGATCTTTGTCTTGATAGAATGCCAATTTTATTGTCTTCTACATTTTCGAATTTGCATTTCCTTGACATCTTGTGGGTTGCATCATTCTCCCCTGGTTGGAGGAAACTCGATCTCGAGTTTTAAAGTGTCGCCGTATGAAAGTCCAAAAACTTTGAATTTGCATATGTAGTTGTATCTGAGAAGCTTTAAGAGGACGCCTCCTTTTCTTGAATTGAGAAAAAATTGAAAAAATTTGGATATTGATCTTCTGAATTGTGGCATCAAATTTTTTCGGAATAACAAACTCAATTGTTGGAATAAAATGGATAAAAAGAACTTTTTTGAACTGATGTTGAATCTAGGAAGCACGGATACGGACACGGGAATACGACAAAATTCCAAAATATAGGACACGAGTACGGCAAGGATACGACTAATTAAAAGAATATAATATATTTTTATATATATAATAACATTAATAATAAAATTGAGTAATTAATTAATATTTTGTAATTGAACAAATGAGCTAATATTAAATTTGATTAGTGGGTTAATATGTTTTGGACAGTGGGCTAAACCAAATTGGATAGTGAGTGACAACTAATAAGGTATGATTGTAATTTAACATAAAATACAAGAAGTCTAAGAGTTATCTTAAATTATTTTAACAACTAGGGCAAAGAAAAAAAGAAAAGAAAATAATTGGGGCTAAAATATAAATTAAGACAAACAAAAAAAAGAAAAAGAAAAAGAAAAAGGCAGCCCTAGTTGCTGAAAAGCAACTAGGGTAAGCCGCTGGAGTCGGGACTTCGCAGAGAACTTAGCGGCGTGAGAGAGAGAGAGAGATAGAGTGTGTGGTCGAAGGGACACCTGAAGATGAAGGCGACATACCTACTCGAAGAGAAGAAGACCTGTGGCTGTGGCTGATCTGGTACGTCGTCTTCTTCCTTTTTTTTTTTTTTTTTCTAGTTTCAAATCCAGGCCATATCCCTTCATATCACCTCGTATCCGAGTTGTATCCGTCCATCTTCACTATTTAGGACACTTGTGGAAGTATCAGACACGTGTTCGGCCGTATCCCACGTGTATCTGTGTCGGACACCGCCACGTTGCGGAGTATCCGTGCTTCCTAGCGTTGAATATAAAGCCCAGTAGCAGGCCTTTCCAGTGTTATTTAAGGCGTAAAGCGAACCGAAGCGACCAAGCCTCCTAACGCTTAGGCGAGAAGCGAAGCAACAGGCTTTACCGAAGCGAACAGTTAAAAAAAAAATTTTTTTTTAGTTTAATTACTTCTAAACAATCTAAGTTCTAATTTTATATATACTAAATATTTAAATGCAAGTAAAATCATAAACATTTAAATTAAAATAAACACTAATAATATCTCAAATCTTAAAAAAAAATAGAAGCAGAATGAGCAAAAAAAAAAAAACAGAAGCATAATAATCATGACAGGAGTAGAATCAATTGTAAACAATTTCATATGTACTGAATAAAAAAAGCAGAACAGGGACACATTCACATGTACTAAATAAGATTTCATAACAATTGTAAACAATTTTATATGTACTGAATAAAAAAGGTAGAACAGGAGCACATTCACATGTACTAAATAACATTTCATAACAATTGTAAACAATTTCATATTTTACATGTAACAATTTCACATGTATCGAATGCATTAAGTCTTGAGTTTTTATCTGTTTGTATAATTTTTTTAAACCGTTTAATTCCATCAATATCAATAAGAAAAAAAAGGAATGTGTTTTGTTCGGAGTATTGCTTATTAGGAAAAAAAAAAAAAACAGACCAGCAATCGTCGGAAAAAAATAAAAATAATAAAAAAAAAATAGACTAGCGATCATTACAAAAAAAAGTCATCAATGCTTAAAAATAAAAAAGACTACTATTCAGAGCAGAATCAAAAAAAAAAAGAAGAAAAAGAGCAGAATCAGTGAGGAAGGAGCAGCAGAGAGAAGAAGAGAAAAGAAAAAAGAGAAATAGAAGAGAGGAGAAGAAGAAGAGACTAACCTCTTCTCTGTGTCGGTGAGGAAGCAGCAGCAGTGGTCGTGTAGCAACGAGCAGCGAAGGCAGCGATCGTGTTTCCTGTGTCCAGCGATGGTAGTGTAGCAGCGACATTGATCATGTAGCTGAGTTACAGCGAAGGCAATCTGAAAAAAAAATTAGGTTTAGGGTTGTATTTATGGGGTAAGAGAATAATTTGGTGTATCCATGTCTTAAAATTTTTTTTTCAATTGTCTAATCAACGACCCATAATCAAAATAAAAAAAAAAAACGCCTAGAACCGTTAAGGTGCTCGCTTTGTTCGCTTTTTTCTCGCTTCGGCCACATTCGTTTCGCCTGGGGTCCTCTAGGCGAGCTACCTTCGCCTCGCCTCGCCTAGGCGCGCTTTTCAAAACACTAGGCCCTTCCATTGTAGTCTTCCCTTCCTCTTGCTCATTCAAACTTGTAGTATTAGTTTTTGAATCTACTTCTTGGTTCATGGTGAAATCTTCTTTTGTCGTAGCCTTGAGATTCTCAGTGGATACAAAAACATTAAACACTTGACGTGTTAATGTTGTTGGTTGAAAGTCATTAGTAGGAAGAATTTCCTTTGACTACTCTTTTGGCATTATATCGGAGCACTTATATAACAACTCAGTCATGTTTTTCTTTGTGGTTTTAGGACAAATAATTAGTGAACTGATTTGAGATTTTGTAGACTCATCTAAACTTTTCTTAAAATAAATTGTTCATCTTCATGGGCTACCTGAAACATTTGTCTCAGACCGTGATGGGAAATTTATGAGTTTTTTTGTGAACTTTATGGACATTGCTGAATACAAGCTTGAAGTTTTCTTCCTCTTTTCATCCTCAAACCGATTGACAAACAGAGGTTATTAATTGAAGTTTGGGCGATCTCCTTCTTTGCCTTGTTGGTGATCATGTTGCTAATTGGGACCAAGTACTTCCTATGGTTGAATTTGCTTATAACAGCTTTGTTAATCGATCTACAAGTCGCAGCCCCTTTGAGAGTGACAGGTTTATTTCCTAGGAACCCAATAGATTTGGTTCCCTTACCTGCTCGTCCTAGTGTTGAAGTTTATGTTTTTGCCAAACACATGCGTGAGATACATGATGTGCGACGAAGGATTGCAACAAACAATGACAGCTACAAAGCACATGCTGATTAGAGAAAAAAGTTTGTTGAATTCAAGGAAGGAGACATGGTTATGAACTGTATTAGGCCTGAAAGGTATCCTAAGGGTACATACAAGAAGCTTCATTCGAAAAGTGTTGGCCCTTACAAGATTATGAAAAAAATACGCGTTGATACAAAAACTGATGTAGTACGGCTGTGTAATATCAAAATATGGGCTGTTTTGGGCCAGTAATGTAAACAGTAAAATAGGTTGTGAACAGTACCTTGAATAGTAAAATAGGCTAGGAATCACTTTTAGGGTTTTTTAGGCATCACAGCTAAGGGTTATAATTGCATCACACAACTCAAGAAGCCTGTAATTGCAGAAACTTTTGAAATATCACTCTCTATAACTATTTATTAAAAGTAACACTAACTATTTATAGAGTTATAAGTACTCCTAATCCCAAAAGATTAGAATTTCAAAATCTCTAGGACTCAAAAAACTCTAGATCCTTAAAAATTAGAAAATTAAAATTACATAAAATTAGGACTTTAAATTTTAGAATATTCAACACTGGAATTTGATCCAAAAATATGACGTTTCAAAAATTCTAGAAATTACAAAAATATCCCCACTCTAAAAAATAAAAAAAAAAACCCACATAAAACACTAATCTACACTACTAATAAAAGTACTTTAATATAAAAAATTTTTGAATCTCTATTTTACTCTTATAAAGAATTGCAAAGACCACTCTATCCTTCGACAATTAAATATTTAAATTATCATCATATGCTTATATATTTAAATCTCTAAATTATCTCTAACATCTCTTTTAATTATCTATTCTCTATGTATAAATATCAGTTTCTAAAAAAAAAATTGATTGACTATATTACATTATTACCCTTCAAAAAATATGCATCATTATATTTTCAATAAAGTGTTCAAAAAATCTTAAAAAATTTCATCAATCTAATATTACTCATCTCATGTGCAAAGATAATATTATACTTACGTATGTGTATTTTCTTTTTCATCAAAAAGTTTAAACTTTTCATTTCCAAGATTAAAAATTATCATATATATAGTTTTTCAAAATCAATTTATGTTACATCAGTATAATTATTCAATCGTAATAAACTTTCTAAGTTGTATTAAGATTTTATGTGAAAATAGATATTGTAGTGCATTTTTAAATAAAAATTGCATTTTTTAGAATTTTAATATTGTAGAACTTGAAATTTTTAGATTTTTTAGAGTAGTATATTAATTTTTATCTCAATTCACCTAACCAATTCCTAATTATAGTAAGGTTCTAATATGATTAGTATATTAACAATTGCTTTTATTTTATTCAAGAAATTATAAGTGGAATCTTAAGAAAATGAATTTCAAAAAATTTAATTTTTCAAACATCACTAAAAAATCAATATCAATTACAAAATTCTAAAAAAACAAAAATTGAATTTTTTTTTTTTTTAAAATCTATTTTCTTTTAGTTAGAACAAAGAATTTTGGGAATATGTAAATTTTTTATAATCTTATAATAAAATATAAGCAATGAAAAATTAAATTTTGTAAATTTGAGGTGATATTTAATTCAGATACACATATACCTAATATGTTTTATTAATTTTTGTGTACAAAAACTATTCACGTGCAACGCACGTAGTGTATTGCTAGTACTACCAAATGGACTCAAGCTAACTTAAAATAAGATTCAAAATATAATAATGTAAGGTTCTATATGGATCTTTGTCTTGATGGAAAATCAATTCTATTGTCTTTCACATCTTCGAATTTGCATTTCCTTGAGCATCTTATGGATTGCGTTAGCTGTATATATGACTTTGATAAATGGCTGCTTCGCAGTTCTTTGGGCACTTGCTAAAATGTCGTCAATGAAGTTTAGAAAATGACATATTATGATTTTCTGATATCATGGATTTCTTTGTCAGTTAATCATATTAAAGTTTTTCTGGAAATGTTTTGGAAAAATAAAAGCATGAGAGTAATATGCAAAAAAGTATTTATTAAAGAAGATAACTTGCGGAGATGAAATGAATTATTATCATGTATGCTTGCTACACTTTTTTTCACATGAGAACTGAGAGATTAATAACTTATATTGTTTACTAGTCTAAAATCATGCTGGTGTACTGGATATAAGGTTTACTTCTCATAAAATAATAACTTATACCCATATATATTAGTAAATTATAATTAATACATAAAATAATTATTTGAAGTGTGTCCTAGCAGTGTCCGTGACCTATTCTACAATTTGTCTTGTCAATGTGTTCCTGTCATGTTTTTGTGTTATATGTCGATGTGTGCTTCATGGTTTAGGAGAGAACAAAAGCATTAGAATTAACGATGATATTTAATTTGTGGATCATAGTTTGAAAAACATAAGTGGGACTGTGGAAGTATCTTGGGATGAGAAACATGTATGCATCTGTGATTGTCTATTGGGAAAGCAGATTGTCTTCACAAAACCATGCGTGTCACCTGTCAAGGTTTTGGAACACTATAGAGTAGTTTGCTTTGTGCGTAGTTTGCTTGCTCTTTGCGCAAACAATTGTGCAAGTGGGCTCACATGAAAGCCTGTTTGACCAAACTGCTGGCAGCAGTCTCTCATTTCGTGTGTGTGTGTGTAGCTGTGTATGTGTATGGCCTTCACTCAAGTAGCACTCGTGCCAAAGTCACCAGATTCATGGCCAGGTTAGGTAGGCAATTGATTTGTACAATCACCTTCATGCTTTCTTTGAATCAGGAAAGCAGAGAAGGGAAGGAAAATTTAGAAGTTTTGTTGGTTATTTAGTTCCTGGAGGTTGGTGTATGTGTCTTGGGTAACTAGTATAAATCTAATTATAAATATAGAATCTATCATTTTGGTAAGAATGCTCGACTATTTTGTGCGGCTTGCCTAGCTATCTGATGTCGGCATTCTCTTGCATCATTCCATTGGCACGTGCTACTCTTCTTGCTTACTCTGCTGTGTGTCTTTGCAGACTGAGTCATTGCCTCCAATGTCATCACCGGAACCACCATCTCCCTCTGCTTCTAATATATCTCGCAAGGTATGTGAACTTTCTCTGATGATGAGTGAGATTCATACTGGAGTAAAAGACTCTTGGACTAGTTTTATTGCATATGTTGTTGTTTAATCCAATTATTTAAAATGCCCAATGGAGGGAGTTTAAACTAGTCATTTACCTGGTCTTGTACGACAGAAAGATTGGCTCACATGTTTTTTCTTTTTCAACTAATTAATTGCTTTCAGGCCCAGCGACCTCTGCAAAGTGCTGTCTTGGCCTCTGGTTTGAAGGTTATCATCAACTTCTGTTTTGCGTTACATCATCCCCTTTGTCAATATGCATGCAATATGAGTCTAACCTGTTACCTGTCTGCCAGGAGCTTCATGTAATATCAGATGACAATGAATCATCGAGCACTCCTGAGGTCTCAAATGGGGTTCGTGTAGTAGAAGACACAAGCAGTGGATATCTGAATTCTGGTCTCTTTGGGCGGAAGCTTCCGGGTCTCGGTGCTTCTTTTATTCAAAGAACCTGTAGTGCAATTCAGTCATTCAAGTAGACCATGACATTCAGCATACTGTGCTGTTGATCATAAATTTCAGTACTGTGTATTCTTGGACTCTGTGAAGGGGAAACAGGCCTTTTGAGGTTAGTTGTGGCTGGTTGGGGCCCTTCCCTCAGCTATCAGGACTAGGGAGTGCCCAGCCATATTTATGACGTGAGACTGGGTGCTGAATTTTGTAGAGCTGCTGTCTTATGATTAGAATGTTGGCCTAGGGTATGTGTACTACTAAGCTCTTATTACAGTTCTATGGTCTCTATATAATCAGTGGTGGAAAAGAAAAGGTAAAAAAGTGGAATAAAAGAGGTCCTTTGGGTCTATCTTACGTTATGAGTACGGAAGATGTTGCTGCATTTTGAAATTTTGGTGTGAAACATCAGAGTTGTGTGTGTCGTAGGGGTCATTGCCAATGGCTGATTGGACGTGAATGCCTTACATGATTAACTCAACACAGATTGAGCCACGCCCCTGACATCATGTATCCCCTCTCTTCCCCTACTTTGGCCAATCACTTACCCACCATGGGGAGGTGAGGTCTCTTGGACACTGAGGTGAACGGTTGTGTACCTCCTCTCGGATGTAATTGTTTGTTCTCTGAAAACTATTAGGATGAGCCTCGTTCAAAGATGGTATGCTCATTGAATGGAGAATTTAGCAGGGGCATGATGAAACTCATGCCGACCCCTTGCCTGTCAAATGTAGCCTACAGGATTCAAATCAATGTCCTACCCAGGGTTTCGAAGGAATGCAACTGAAGTCGATTGGGCTTTGAGTGCTCGAAACTTGATTGCCTGATCCAAACAAGTTTTGCATTGACCCCCCCAAAATAAAGATCCAAACAAGTTTAGCTGGGATTTCCCATTTACAACATAGAGGGGGAAAAGTAAATGTAGATATTAAATTCACTTTTTTTTCAACCAGCACGGGTTGGTTCATTGGGGAAATGTAAAACCCTGTGTATGTGAGTTTACCTGAGTTTGCGAGGTTTGTTCTTTCGTCCTTTTTTGGCTTCTCTCTCTGACGTAGAACATATGATGCATCTCTCTTTATTTTTGTCATCATCATATCTCTCTCTCCCAGCAAAAAGCCAGGTATAATATGGAATCAATTTATTTAAATATTTAAAAATTTTGTTGTAACTCTGAAGGAAAGAGAAATATAGATATATACTTTCGGGTAAGTAAAATATAAATATGCTAACTGATGGGACATTGTCTGTTAGACAAATCAAGGGCAGACACGTAGTGCATTCTGCAAATAACTACAAAAATAATGATAACTCAAGGCATGATGCGATGCGAGGCTCGTTCGGCCTCGAAGGATGATCTCGGGAGATGGAGTCTTCTCAGTGTCATCATGGAATCCAACGGGGGTTAGAACTTTCTTAGTGTTATCACGAATGCGGACGTAGAATTTGTCTCGTCTGAACCAAAGAACGTTAACGCTAAGAGGGCTAGGGCACCGGCACGAATGAGGCTGAGGGATTCAGGAATAATTGACCAAGCACGCTGACCAACGGGAGATAGTTATCATCGAATAATGCCACATTGGAAGGAGTGCTCATCTGGGAGTAAATAAAAGAATGTATTTTGAAGATAAGTGCCTGGTTGTCAGTAGGCATGGGTCCACCATCCCAAGTGGTCAAACTAAACAGAATAGTACACTGCAACCAATCATGAAAAGGGCCCTTGAAAACACAAATAATGCTCCTCATGAACGTGTGACAAACGACTGAGAGAGAATAATAAACTCTCAGCACAAAACATTGTGCTGATCATTTATTCATCTAAAGCATGACGTCGAATGTTAGCCTCACAGTGAATGCTAGGCGTTAATTTTAATGATCAACTTGGGTTTGGATGTCGAGGGGTTAATGCCATTGACGTGCATGTGAAAAATCGAGGATTGAGGTAAACCAGACATTATGTTCGATGCCGGTCTACCTGGTCAGATCAAAGAAACATCCCTATTGTCCCATGTGTGGACCAATTAGGCATCCTCCCGCTAAAAAGGGCTAGCTGGATGTTCTCGATTGCCATGTTCACCTACCAAGAAAGTATAAATAGTGGTCTTAGACAAGAGAGAGAGGTACGCTCTACAAACCCAACATTGACACTGTTTTTTCTCTCATCCTCAGAAATTGATTTTAGCATCAGAGAAGAAAAGTCGAAGACACCTCCGGCTTCCCTTTTAAACTTTCTTTGTGAGCATTAGATTTTCGTCATTTCCTAACCAGAGAGCTTCCTTTGAGTGCCAACCAGAGTGTTGCTATCTCACTATTGTGCGGGAAATCACTAGCAAAATTTGGCACCGTCTGTGGGAAATCAAAGAACTTCCCTATAGTTAGCATAATGGTCAACACCCAATCATGAGACTATGCAGAAGAAAACCCATGTCACCAGAAGAAGAAAATCCTTTTCCCAGCTCCTTCAACATCTAAGTTAGTGCATCATACTGACAATTTGAATCATGAATGCTGATGTAGAATTTGTCTCGTATGAACCAAAGAATGCCAACGGCAAAAGGGCTAGGGCATCGGCACAAACGAGGCTGAGGGATTCAAGAATAATTGACCAAGCACGCCAACCACGTAAGTCGACGTGATGGAGATAGTTATCATCAAATAATTCTACATTGGAAGGAGTGCCCATCTGGCAGGAAATAAAAGAATGTCTTTTGAAGATCTAAGCCTGGCTATCAAAAGGCATGGGCCCCCCCATCCCAAGTGGTTAGACTAAACAGAATAGTACACTGCAACCAATCATGAAAAGGGCCCTTGAAAACACAATTAGTGCTCCTCATGAACGTGTGACAAACGACTAAGAAACACTAACTACTCGGGAGATAGTGAGAGAGAATAATAAACTCTCAGCACAAAACATTGAGTAGAACATTTATCCATGCAGAGCATGACGTCAAATGTTAGCCTCACAATGAATGCTAGGCGTTAATTTTAATGATCAACTTGGGTTTGGATGCTGAGGGGTTAATGTCATTGACGTGCATCAGATAAACGTGCATGCAAAAAAATCAAGGATCGAGGTAAACTAGGCATTATGTTCGATGTCCGTTTACCTAATCAGATCAAAGAAACATCCCTGTTATCCCATGTGTGGACCAATTAGGCATCCTCCAGCTAAAAAGGGCTGGTTGGATGTTCTTGATTGTCGCGTTCACCGACTAAGAAAGTATAAATAGTGGTCTTAGACAACAGAGAGGTACACTTTACAAACCCAACATTTACACTGTCTTCTCTCATCCTCAAAAATTGACTTTAGCATCGGAGAAGAAAAGTCGAAGACACCTTCGACTTCCCTTTTAACCATTCTTTGTGAGTGTTAGATTTTCGTCATGTCCTAACCACAGAGCTTCCTTCGAGTGCCAACCAGAGTGCTGCTATCTCATTATTGTGCGAGAAATCACTTGCACAATTTGGCACCGTCTGTGGGAAATCAAAGAACTTCCCTATCGTTAGCATGATGGTCAACACCTAATCATGAGACTATGCAGAAAAAAACCTATGTCACCAGAAGAAGACTATCTCTCTCCCAGCTCTTTCAACATCTAAGTCAATGCATCATACTGACAGTTTGAATCGTGAATGCAGATGTAGAAGGTGTCTCATCTGAACAAAAGAACGTCAACGCCGAGAGGGTTAGGGCATCGACACGAATGATGCCTAGGGATTCAGGAATAATTGGTCAAGCACATCGACCACGTCAGTCGGTGCGATGGGAGATAGTTATCATCGAATAATGCCACATTGGAAGGAGTGCCAGTTTGAGAGTAAAAAAAAAGAATGTCTTTTCAAGATCTGTGCCTAGCTGTTAGTAGGCATGGGTCCACCATCCCAAGTGGTCAGACTAAACAGAATAATATATTGTAACCAATCAAGAAAAGAGCCCTTGAAACCACAATTAATGCTCCTTATGAATGTGTGACAAATGATTGAGAGACACTAACTGCTAGGGAGATAATGAGAGAGAATAATAAACTCTCAACACAAAACATTGTGCTGAGCATTTATTCATGCAGAGCATGACATCGAATGTTAGCCTCATAGTGAATGCTAGGTGTTAATTTTTATGATCAACTTGGGTTCGGATGCCGAGGGGTTAATGCCATTGATATGCATCAAATAAATGTGCATGCAAAAAATCGAGGATCGAGCTAGACCAGGCATTATTTCGATGCCTGTCTACCAGATCAGATCAAAGAAACATCCCTGTTATCCCATGTGTGGACGAATTAGGCGTCCTCCCGCTAAAAAGGGCTAGCTGGATGTTCTCGATTGCCATATTCGCCTACTAAGAAAGTATAAATAGTGGTCTTAGACAAGAGAGAGACATATGCTCTACAAACCCAACATTTACACTGTGTCTTCTCTCATCCTCAAAAACTAACTTTAGCATCAGAGAAAAAAAGCTGAAGACACCTCTTGCTACCCTTTTAACCTTCTTTGTGAGTGTTAGGTTTTCGTCAATTCCTAACCAGAGAGCTTCCTTCGAGTGCCAACCAGAGTGCTATTATCTCACTATTGAGCAAGATACACCTACACAATTTGGCATCGTTTGTGAAAAATCAAAGAACTTCCCTATAGTTATCATGATGGTCAACACCCAATCATGAGACTATGTAGAAGAAAACCCATGTCACCAGAAGAAGACTATACCTCTCCTAGCTCCTTCAATATCTAAGTCAGTGCATCATATTGACAGTTTGAATCATGAACGCGAACGCAAAAGTTGCCTTATTTGAACCAAAGAATGTTAACATCGAGAGGGATAGGGCATCGGTACGAACGAGGCCAAAGGATTCAGGAATAATTGGCCAAGCACGCCGACCACGTCAGTTGGTGTGACGAGAGATAGTTTTGATCGAATAATGTCACATTGGAAAGTGTGTCCATCTGGGAGTAAATAAAAGAATGTCTTTTGAAGATCTGTGCCTGGTTGTCAGTAGGCATGGGTCCACCATCCCAAGTGGTCAAACTAAACTGAATAACACATTGCAACCAATCAAGAAAAGAGCCCTTGAAACCACAATTAATGCTTCTTATGAACGTGTGACAAATGACTGAGAGACACTAATTGCTAGGGAGATAATGAGAGAGACTAATAAACTCTCAACGCAAAACATTGTGCTGAGCATTTATTTTAATGATCAACTTGGTTTGGATGCCGAGGGGTTAATGCCATTGATGTGCATCAGATAAACGTGCATGCAAAAAATCGAGGATCGAGGTAAACTAGGCATTATGTTCAATGCTTGTCTACCTGATCAGATCAAAGAAACATCCCTGTTGTTCCATATGTGGACCAATTAGGCGTCCTCCCGCTAAAAAGGGCTAGCTGGATGTTCTCGATTGCCATGTTCACCTACCAAGAAAGTATAAATAGTGGTCTCAGACAAGGGAGAGAGGTACGCTCTACAAACCCAACATTTACACTGTGTCTTCTCTCATCCTCAAAAACTAACTTTAGCATCAGAGAAGAAAAGCTGAAGAAAACTCTAGCTTCCCTTTTAACCTTCTTTGTAAGTGTTAGGTTTTCGTCATTTCCTAACTAGAGAGCTTCCTTCGAGTGCCAACTAGAGTGTTGCTATCTCATTATTGTGCGGGAAATCACCTGCACAATTTGGCAGTGTTTGTGGGAAATCAAAGAACTTTCCTATATTTAGCATGATGGTTAACACCCAATCACGAGACATGCAGAAGGAAACCCATGTCACCAGAAGAAGACTATCCATCTCTCAGCTGCTTCAACATCTAAGTCAGTGCATCGTACTGAAAGTTTGAATCTTGAACGTAGACGTTGAAGTTGTCTCATCAGAACCAAAGAATGTCAATGTCGAGAGGGCTAGGGCATTGGCACGAACGAGGTCGAGGTATTCAGGAATAATTGACCAAGCATGTCGACCACGTTAGTTGGCATGACATGAGATAGTTATCATCGAATAATGCCACATTGGTAGGAATGCCCATCTAGGAGTAAATAAAAGAATTTCTTTTGAAGATCTGTGTCTGGCTGTTAGTTGGCATGGGTCCACCATCCCAAGTGGTCAAACTAAACAGAATAATACACTACAACCAATCATGAAAAGGGCCCTTGAAAACACAATTAATGCTCCTTACGAACCTGTGACAAACGACTGAGAAACACTAACTGCTCGGGAGATAATGAGAGAGAATAATAAGCTCTCAGTGCAAAAACATTGTGCTGAGCATTTATTCATGCAGAGCATGACGTTGAGTGTTTGCATCACAGTGAATACTAGGCATTAATTTTAATGATCAACTTGGGTTTGGATGTTGAGGGGTTAATAAATTGACGTGCATCAGATAAATGTGCATGCGAAAAATTGAGGATCGAGGTAAACCAGGCATTATGTTCAATGTTTGTCTACTTGATCATATCAATGAAACATCCCTGTTGTCCCATGTGTGGACCAATTTGGATTCCTCTCGCTAAAAAAGGCTACCTGGATATTCTTGATTTCCTTGTTCACCTACCAAGAAAGTATAAATAGTGGTCTTAGACAAGAGAGAGAGATACACCCAACAAACCCAACATTTACATTGTGTCTTCTCTCATCATCAGAAACTGACTTTAGCATCAGAGAAGAAAAGTTGAAGACACCTCCGACTTCCCTTTTAACCTTTCTTTCTAAGTGTTAGGTTTTCTTCATTTCCTAACCAGAGAGTTTCCTTCGAGTGCCACCTAGAGTACTGTTATCTCATTATTGTGCGAGAAATCACCAACACAATTTGGCATCGTCTGTGGGAAATCAAAGAACTTCCCTATAGTTAGCATGATGGTCAACACCCAATCACGAGATTGTGCAGAAGAAAACTCATGTCATCAAAAGAAGACTATCCCTCTCCCAGCTCCTTTAACATCTAAGTCAGTTCATTATACTGACAGTTTGAATCATGAACGTGGACATAAAAGTTGTCTCATGAACCAAAGAACGTCAACACTAAGAGGACTAGGCTAGCGACATGAACGAGGCCGAGGGATTCAGGAATAATTGACCAAGCACGCGCGACCATGTCAATCGGCGCGACGGGAGATAGTTATCATTGAATAATGCCACATTGGAAGGAGTGCTTGTCTAGGAGTAAATAAAAGCTTGTCTTTTGAAGATTTATGCATGTTTGTCAGTTGGCATGGGTCCACCATCCCAAGTGGTCAGACTAAACAAAATAGTACACTGCAACCAATCATGAAAAGGGCCTTGAAAACACAATTAATGCTCCTCATGAACGTGTGACAAACAACTAAGAAACACTAACTGCTCGGGAGATAGTGAGAGAGAATAATAAACTCTCAACGCAAAACATTGTGTTGAGCATTTATTCATACAGAGCATGACATCGAATGTTAGCCTCATATTGAATGCTAGGCGTTAGTTTTAATGATCGACTTGGGTTTGGATACCGAGGGGTTAATTCCATTGACATGCATCAGATAAATGTGTATGCAAAAAATCGAGGATCGAGGTAAATCATGCATTATGTTTGATGCCTATCTACCTAATCAGATCAAAGAAACATCCCTATTGTCCCATGTGTGGACCAATTAGGTGTCCTCCCGCTAAAAAAGGCTATGTTGTCGATTACTATGTTCACCTACCAAGAAAGTATAAATAGTGGTCTTAGAAAAGAGAGAGAGGTATGCTCTACAAATCCAACATTTACACTATTTCTTTTCTCATCCTCAGAAACTGACTTTAGCATCGGAGAAGAAAAGCCGAAGACACCTCCGACTTCCCTTTTAATCTTTCTTTGTGAGCGTTAGGTTTTCGTCATTTCCTAACCAGAGAGCTGCCTTTGAGTGCCAACCAGAGTGCTGCTATCTCACTATTGTGTGAGAAATCACCAGCAAAATTTGGCACCGTTTGTGGGAAATCAAAGAACTTCCCTATAGTTAGCATGATAATTAACACCCAATCACGAGACTATGCAGAAGAAAACTTATGTCACTAGAAGAAAACTATCCCTCTCCTAGCTCCTTCAACATCTAAGCTAGTACATCATAGTGACAGTTTGAATCAGGACCAAGTCATTAGCCAAGATTAGGTAGACCGCTCCAAGCAACGATCCTAATATACCGTGCCAAGTCCCTTGGGGGAGGACTACTTTCTACCAAGTTGGTGGATCTCATAGAGCAACGACTGGAAAGTCGATTCAAGTAGATTGAAAAAGATAACATCAATGTGCTAAACATGCTAGATCAGTTTGGACATGTTTGGGGGTCTAGGAGCCTTAGCCGTTCCACCAAGGTCAAGTCATGCCAAGACGGGTTGAAACTAAATGATCTCAAACATTGCCTCACTTAGAAGGCGGGAAAATCCAAGGGTCCTAAACATGCGCGCCTACAGGATGGGGAACCTGATGTCCTTAGAAAAAGGACCAGACATCTAGCCGATGACAATCTCCATCAATGTCTGTCTCAAAGAGAGAGGAGGGATGGATTTAAGGATGGTTCTACCCTCTCTCTGAAGGATGCGGACATAAGAAGGAACGATGCGTCTCCTAAGCATTGAAAGGGGGGCGACAATCTAAGGTCCCACCTAAATTTGAAGAGGCTCAAATGGGCCACCTAGCAATAGAAAGATGACACCAACGATGAACTCATCCATTCCCCCTTCACCGAAGCATAAGGGAGGTGGAGATGCCTAGCAAGTTCTTCATACTCTAATTCAAAGTAGACAATAGTCGGTTTGACCTGGAGACCTACCTCCAACAATACAAA